GGCCAGGTATCGCGGGCCTGCCCCCAGCGACGAGCAGCCCTGCCCCCAGCCCGGCGGCCCGTAGTCTCGCTGAACGCATTCGCCCCCAGGGAGCACACGCTAGTTCCTGGACCCGTTCAGAGAGCGCCTGGCCCCTAGTGCGATCAGCTCAGACAAGCGGGGGGGCGGGGCGGGGGCAGAGCCGTGCCGCTCTGTCCTCGCACAAGGTGGGATGTCACCTGGCAGCCAATGGATCCCACCCGGGTCAGATGGAACTGAGATGCCACGTCAGTCAAGGACGGGTGTGATCAGTCGCTTGTCCCTGAAGAACCGCGGCTCAGGAGGTGCCAGCAGAGCCTCCTGCTGCCGGGCGCCCCGCGGATATTATCTGCACCGGACACTGGAGCAGCGAGGGCCACAGAACGGCCCCCCAGGGCTGGCTCAGAGCCGAGGCTGGAGGCAAAGGAGCCCGGCTAAGGATCGGCTCCCGTGTCCCTGGGGACGACGGATGTTCCGAGTGGGGCTGAAGCGCTGACATGGCTGCCAGACGCACTCCAGACTGACAGGCGGCATGTGCTCCAAGAAGGGCTGGAGAGAAGCCAGCACAGTGGAAACCTGCCCTGTCACCAGGCACGCCGCCCTTCTGTTGCCACGTAGCACCCGTCGGGCACGGCCACACGTGGCATGCCGGGAGCTAGGGATGCAGAGGAAGGGGGAGGGCAGCGTGAGAAGGCCAGAGAACCAGCCCTGCCCTGGACATGCTGGGACCACGAGACGGACAAGAAGGGCTGGAGAGAAGCCAGCACAGTGGAAACCTGCCCTGTCACCAGGCACGCCGCCCTTCTGTTGCCACGTAGCACCCGTCGGGCACGGCCACACGTGGCATGCCGGGAGCTAGGGATGCAGAGGAAGGGGGAGGGCAGCGTGAGAAGGCCAGAGAACCAGCCCTGCCCTGGACATGCTGGGACCACGAGACGGAGCTTGGCATGTTCTGCCTTCAGCTGGAGGGGGACCGATGGGAGGATCGGGACCACGAAGGAGCAGACCGCAGAACCAAGAGCCAGCGGAGGCCCCCGTGAGAGCAGAGCGGGTGCATTTCTACTGTCGCTCCTGGCACAGGCCAGTGGCCAACATGCCCCGAGCTGCAAGACCAGCCAGAGGACACGGCTCAAGGTCTGTGCCGATTCTAGAGCCCAGGCAAGCGGTCGGCTCCTGACGTGTGCCCCCCTCGGCTGCCTCCTGGCAGAGCGCCCGGCGCCCTGCCCGTTCACACGCCAGGGCCCGGCGGGCGGCCCAGCACCGTCTGAAAAGCGCGTTGGGCAGCGCAGAGGGCCTGGGGCTCCAGCATGAGACGCAGCGAGGCCCTGCTCACCCCTAGACGCGCTGGCTGGTAGGGGCCAGAGACAGGGACGCTCCAAAGGAGCTCAGGGCCGGCAGAGGGCGCTGGGTCCGAAGCGTGGACGTGCGGCTGTCCTGGGAGAGTTGGGGGGCTCAGCAGTGGTGGCAAACTGCCATCGAGCTGGTGGAGCCTGTTAGGGCCCAAGGAACTTGGACTTGCCAGGTTCAGAACCAGCCCCCACCGGGCCACCGTGCATAGTGGGGGCCGACGCGAGACAGGACTTGCTTCCGCGTCTGCCCCATCTGCAGCCAAGTGCCCAGGTCTGGGAAGAGGCTACACGACCACGTGGCTGGCAAGAGCCCCAGGGGCAGAAGAAAGGCCAAAGGGAAGCGCCATATATGGAAAATAGTGCTCCACTGCAACAAACCGCCAGCTCCCCATTCCCCAGCGATGCAAAGGGCCTCGGCAGCAAAGCAGCCGCCTGAGATACGGTGGGGACGGCTGGCGAGGGACCACGGGGAACCTCACGGACCTGCTAGCGGTTTGCAAGTATCCAAAAGGGGCTCACAGCAGGAGGGGAAAATGGTTCTCCTGGCCTCTGAGGACAGGACAAGACACAACGGGCTCAAATGGCAGCCAGGGAGGTTGGGTTGGACATTAGGAGAAACGTCCTGCCTGTCGGGGATGAAACGCTGGGATCAATTGCCCGGGGGGTCGTGGAGTCTCCACCTCTGGAGACAGTGAGAGCAGGTTGGACAGACGCCGGGCAGGGGTGGTCTGGCCGGTGTTTGGCCCTGCCAGGAGGGCAGGGGACTGGACTCACTGACCAGGTCCTTTCCAGTTCTAGGACCCCAGGACGTATCTGCCTCTGATGGTCCTCAGGACTGAGCTACTGGTGGCCAACCTGCAAGCGCTGAGAAAGTGAGCCAACCAGCCCCCAAAGGAAGGAACGCGGGAGGGGAACAACAGGAACGCTCCTCCAGACCGAGAAGTCTTACTGCCCCTGTATAAAACTATGGGACGCCCACATCTTGAATACTGTGTACAGATGTGGTCTCCTCACCTCAAAAAAGATATTTTGGCCTTGGAAAGGATTCAGAAAAGGGCAACTAAAATGATTAGGGGTTTGGAACGGGTCCCATATGAGGAGAGGTTAAAGCAACTGGGACTTTTCAGTTTAGAAAAGAGGAAACTGAGGGGGGATATGATAGAGGTCTATAAAATCATGAGTGGTGTGGAGAGGGCCGATAAAGAAAAGTTATTTATCAGTTCCTGTAATAGAAGAACTAGAGGACACCAAATGAAATTAATGGGTAGCAGGTTTAAAACTAATAAAGGAAAGTTCTTCTTCACACAGCGTGTAATCAACCTGTGGAACTCCTTGCCAGAGGAGGCGGTGAAGGCTAGGACTATAATAGAGTTTAAAGAGAAGCTAGATAATTCACGGAGGTTAGGTCCATAAAAGGCTATTAGCCAGGGGATAAAATGGTGTCCTTGGCCTCTGTCTGTCAGAGGCTGGAGAGGGATGGCAGGAGACAAATCGCTTGATCATTGTCTTCGGTCCACCCTCTCTGGGGCACCTGGCGCTGGCCACTGTCGGCAGTCAGGCTACTGGGCTAGATGGACCTTTGGTCTGACCCAGCACGGCCGTTCTTATGTTCTAAGTCAAAATGGGCACTTGGGTAGCACTGGGGGAAGTGTGGGGCCAGCCCCCAGACCCGAATGCCGCCTCTGGGACCTCTGCACCTCTCTGGGGTAGGGGAGGGAAAGGCTGCCCAAATGTGCCATACGGTTAGCAATCCGGATCTGCAGGTGGAGGAGGCAAAAATCTTCCTTCCCATCACATCCCTCTGTTCCCAGTCCTTCTCCTTCGGCGCACTGACGCCTGCCCTGCTGGCTGCTACCGGTTGCCGTGGCCACGGCCAGAGCGTGCAGGGCAGGGTGTCCCAGCACCTGCATTTCTCCAAGCACTTTACAGCAGGCAGGCCCAAAGCTGGTGAGTTTCACAGGAGCTTTGCGGGCTCCTGAGCCCACGGCTGCGAGAGAGGACGACCCTGCCAAGGGCAGATGGCTGATTTCCAACGACTTACAGGAACTCTGCTGACACCAGGCAAGCGGCCTCACCACCCTGCAAACGGTCCTGCATGGCCTTGAACCTCTCTGGGGCCGAGGGCACCACAGAACTGCCCAGGGCCGAAAGCCAAGTGGTTACCCGGGGCAGTGCCAGGTCGTGTCCCAGATCCGAGGGACCTGGTGGGGACAGCGCTGGAGCCCTGCGAGGGGAAAGCGCACCGGTACCGGGTCGCGTCCCGGACCCGAGGGGCCTGGTGGGGACAGCGCTGGAGCCCTGCGAGGGGAAAGCGCACCGGTACCGGGTCGCGTCCCGGACCCGAGGGGCCTGGTGGGGACAGCGCTGGAGCCCTGCGAGGGGAAAGCGCACCGGTACCGGGTCGCGTCCCGGACCCGAGGGGCCTGGTGGGGACAGCGCTGGAGCCCTGCGAGGGGAAAGCGCACCGGTACCGGGTCGCGTCCCGGACCCGAGGGGCCTGGTGGGGACAGCGCTGGAGCCCTGCGAGGGGAAAGCGCACCGGTACCGGGTCGCGTCCCGGACCCGAGGGGCCTGGTGGGGACAGCGCTGGAGCCCTGCGAGGGGAAAGCGCACCGGTACCGGGTCGCGTCCCGGACCCGAGGGGCCTGGTGGGGACAGCGCTGGAGCCCTGCGAGGGGAAAGCGCACCGGTACCGGGTCGCGTCCCGGACCCGAGGGGCCTGGTGGGGACAGCGCTGGAGCCCTGCGAGGGGAAAGCGCACCGGTACCGGGTCGCGTCCCGGACCCGAGGGGCCTGGTGGGGACAGCGCTGGAGCCCTGCGAGGGGAAAGCGCACCGGTACCGGGTCGCGTCCCGGACCCGAGGGGCCTGGTGGGGACAGCGCTGGAGCCCTGCGAGGGGAAAGCGCACCGGTACCGGGTCGCGTCCCGGACCCGAGGGGCCTGGTGGGGACAGCGCTGGAGCCCTGCGAGGGGAAGGCTCACTGGTACCCGGGGCGGTTGCGGGTCAACAGGCATCTCCACAGACCTTCCTTGGGATTTCTCCTTAGAGCTTGCAGCCGAGGTGTCCCAGCGGCATGGAAAGGGCCTGGTGGCCAGTGGGTGTCAGGCCACGGACCCGCTCCTGATGGTGAGATGAGCCCCCCTCCTGCGACCCAGCGTGCTCCAGGAACAGCCCCGAGTGGCTCAGGCGATGGACAGCGAGAGGAGGAAGATCCTCTCCTGGACCCCCAGAGGCTGGGGCTCCAGGGGAGCACGTGAGCAGCTGGCCTAGCCCCCTGGAGTGCGAAACGGAGAGGGCCGGGGGCAGAAACGCAGTCCCTGGCACAGACTAGGCCTGTGCAGTCTGGTGCAGGAAACCAGCCCTGGCAGCAAGGTGACTGGTGGTGCCCAGCTGGGGAGCAGCGTGTGTGGCCTGACAACACGGAGATGCCCTAACAAGGCTGGTCCTAGCCCCACTCCACGGACTAGGGAAGGGAGACGGACCCGCAGGCTCAGCAGCTGGCCCATCAGTGGGGCTATGAACAACACAGTCCTGGCACAGCTCAGGAAGTGGCTCCCCAGGCCCCCGCGGCGGCCTCGCCCGCCGGAAGCTGGGTTTGGCCAGGCCTCTGGGACACCTGGCTTGACTGCGGTCTGAGCTGGGCCACTGGACTGACCCAGCACAGGCATCCCTGGCACCCTCAGAGCACGCTGCAGGGCAGAGGCAGGGGCGAAGGGGGAGGAGAACAAGAGGCCTGGGAAAACAGCCCTGAAGAGAAAGCCCCCAGCTAGAGCCCACAGAGCTGCTAGGGCCTGGGGGCAGGTCTGTGTGGGGAGTGGGGCCAGGAGAGGCGGGGGGGACCATGCAGCCCCTACCTGCTGGATGCCCAGGCAGAGGTAATAGATGCTGTCTGGCTCGTAGCGCTCGCCGTTGGGCCGCGTGATCTCCTTGACAAACTGGGCCAGGCCGTAGTTGAGCTCGGCCGCGGTGCAGGCCAGGATGTCCTCTTTGATGCGCATGGGCTTGGCTGCGGAGACAGAATAGAGCAACCTCAGGCTCCTTGTGTCAGGCCAGGCCCTGGGGCTCTGCTCTCCCCACTGGGCGCGGCAGCACTTACGCCCGAAGCGCAGCTCCTCTCCCTTGCTGGACTCCCCGCCGGCGTACTTGGCCTGCACCCAGCACTTCCAGGCGTTCACTCCGTACGAGTAGTTCAGTCCTGTGCAGCTGGGCTGGCTGCTCATGGAGTCCCGGGAGCAGCTTTCGGAGAGCACCAGGCGCTTCTGGCCCTGCAGAGAAGTGCACCGTAAGGCTGGGCGTGCCAGAGGCAGGCGTTACTCCCAGTCCCGGCGCCCCGGGGCAGCCACAGGCTCAGAGACCTGGGACCGGGCATGCTGTTCTCCAGAGCGCCCCCAACCGCAGCGGTGAGACGGGATCAGTGGGGAGACCAGCAAGAGAAGGTCACATGGGGGCCATGTCCAGACTGCGGAGATAAATCCAAGAAAGACACGCAAATTGCAAACCGCGTTCTTCCCCGGAAGAGGCGTTTCCGCCATTTGGCGCGTCTACACGGGGCCAAATTTCGGAAAAACCTCCTCTCCCAGCACGTCCCTTCTTCTGAAACAGCGGACGCACTCCTTGGGTGTGCCAGAGCGTTGCCAGGGTACCTCCGATAGCCCGGAAAAGCTCTGCAACGTAGGCATGGCCTGGGGTGTGAGCATGCCTGGCCTGCAGGACACGCCACCCTCAGCAGAGCAGCCCAGGCATGGTGGGCAAAGAAGTCATTAGGGCAGACTGGTGGCAGCCAGGAGCATGGACGGTCAACATGAGAGCAGCCCGCTCCCATGCAGCGCCAGATGCACACATTCAGCGAGGCATCGGAGGCTGTGAAGTGCAGCAGCAAGTCGGCAAGGCGCAGGAGCTCTGAGATACCAAGCTCTCTGGGTCAGTGCACTCACCAGGGCGGATACAATTCAGATTTTTAAAAAACGTTTTAAATCTATAAAATACTAAACGTTTCATGCAAGACGAGCAGTGACAATTAAATCTCCCAGACGTGCTAAGTCTCGTGCAATGAGGTAACGGCTCTGGTCTGCCCAGCCGAACTACCCGCCCTTGCCTCTTGAAACTTCTGGGCTTTCCATCCCTGTTTCTCAGCAAACTCAAGTGACACGCAGCCAGAGCCAGGCTGGGCCACGCTGCTTCTGTGCCGTGCTGCGGCAGAGGGCGGGAAGACACGGACTAGGGACAGAGGCAGCAGACAGACAGTGGAGTGGAGAGGGGAAGAAAAGGGAAGACGTTCCTCAGCACACACACAGCTTCCTATATTCCCCTCCGCCCTTGCCACAGAAAACCTGCCCTGACTCCCGGGTGCGAGAGCGTCTGGGAAGGCCCGGACGCAACGCACTCCCTGGGCGAGAAAGGAGCCATGCCGAGAAGACGGTGCAGGGCCCGGCTGCAAGAATGAAACCTCATAAGGAAAACCGCTCCTTGGGAAAACGGAACCCAGCGAAGTCCGGCAGCCCCTACCGACTACCCAACCCTGCAGCCTCACATGCCAGTCTCTACGGTGCTGCCGGGCTATTCGTTGTGCTCGAGTGTTTTCAGGTACAGACTAACACGGCTCCCGCGCAGAGACCTGCTTCTGGGCAGTCTGTGGCTGAAGAACAATGTGGATCAACGTGGCAAAGCATCGCTCTCAAGACCCTCTCGCTGCCTTTTCGTACAAAACTTCCTGCCTCTCGGGGTGGTTAAACGCTGGAAGAAGTTGTCTAGGGAGGCTGTGGAATCTCCATCTCCGGAGATATTTCAGAGCAGGCTAGACAGACACCTGGCAGGGATGAGCTAGACGGTGCTTGGTCCTGCCACGAGGGCAGAGGAATGGATCTGATGATCTCTCGAGGTCCCACGGCCAGTGCGCTAGGATTCTAGGCGTGTTAACAAGTAAACTCCCAAGCGCTTTGCTGGGGTGGATGTTGCCAGAAAACAAGCGGAGCTCAGCTAATCCTCGCGGCTTGTGTAATTCGTGCCCCAGGTATGCAGGACAGACAGACGCAGTAGGAGAAATCGAGAGGTGCCGCTGAGAGTAATTGTCTTATTTCAGGACAGTATTCGCACCCCTTATTTTGGAACAGACCAGAGCGGTGATGCCGTAAGCCTGCTCCCTATTGGACGTCAGCGTCACTCAGCTTTCCCAAAGGAACCCCGTCCTGTACTTGTCTCCAACAGGGCTGGCTCCACAATGAAGTGCGCCCTACGCACAGTCCGTATTAGATCTGCATCAACCTGACCATGGCAGCGGGAAGGGGAGAGCTAGCAGTAGGGTGTAAGGACACCCGGCACTCAGCGTTCGGAGGTCTTGGTGGCTAGAGCTAATCACATAGAAAATGACAAGAGAAGAGTTTCAGCACAGCTGCCAGCCAGCAGCTCAGGAGACTGTGCAGTCGCACGTGTGAAACATCGGTGTAGCGCGGCAGATTGCGTTTAGTAAACAGAAGTGCCATTGTGCGCCATTTAGTTCTTACCGCTCCTCTCGCACTGCTCCCGCATCGGCAGCGTGGCGCAGGGAGTGAGTATTATGGGCTATTTCCTAAACTAATGAAAATCTAAACAAAGGACAGAGTCCCCCTTCCGTGCTGTACAAGGCGTCCTGCGCGGTCAGTTAACGTGTAAGTGATCAGATCAGCACCATGCCCTGAAGAAACAGGTGAAGAAGCAGCCGTGGGAAACCTGATTGAAACCCAGGATTTTTGCAGTGATTTCAATCTGCAAACAGCATCCCCAAGGTCTGCGTGGAGCCCCAGGAGCAGGACACAAGGCGGCAGGCTGGCTGTTGTGTTGTGTTGCACTTAGAGCCGAGCAGCCTTTCTCCCTCGGAAGGGAAATCTGGAGCCAGAGGGCACCTAGCAGGTGTCCAAGGAGAGAACCCAGCAGCTAGGCTGCAGTGCCCTCAGTGGCCACCCCCCCCTCCTGTCCCCACCAGGCCTGAGCTGACCAGCCCCCCACAGGGCTCAGCAGGCAATGCCCACGGCAGCCCCACACACGCCCAGGCCGCGCTCACCTTCCGCACGGCGCGAGGCAGGTCTGCATCGGTGGAGACGTCGTCTGGCCCCACCAGCCCGCAGTCAAAGAGGAAGTCCACACTGGGGTTAATGTCCAGAGGATCTGATGGGAAACAAGGCAGAGCAGAGGGTTTAGGGCGGGGGGACCCTGCCAGACATGCGGTCCCTCCAAAGGGACAGAGCCAGCTGGGCTAACGTGGGCGTTACCCAGGGACCCCGGCCCCGGCCCCAGCCAACAGCAGCACTGACAGCACCAAGCGGCAGAGCATGACGACTCCGGGGCCTCTGACAGAGCGCAGCACGTCACCCCAAGGGTCCCTCCAGCCTCTCCCCTTCCAGCACCACGGCCAGGCCGCTGCCCTGCTGGCTGTTCCCTCAGGCCCACGGGGCTTGGCTCTTTGGCGTCTCCCCTCCTCAAGTGAGGGGCCTCCTGGGACCAGTGAGACAGCAGCCATCGAATGCCCGAGAACGGCCCCACTCCGCGCTGCGGCTTCCCTGGGGGAGCCCTGGCCGGGCCAGGCTGTGCTCCGCCCTACTAGGCACTGCTGGGGGGACTGGGAGGGATGCTCCGGGAGGCAGGCTCCGGCCACGCAGGGCTTTGCCGATGGGCTCCTGCTTCCAAGGCCCCCTCCCTTCCCGGGCTCCCGGCCTCTAGCCGGCCACTGCCTGACGGAGCTCGCCCCGCTCAGTCTCTTGGCTCCAGCCTCGGGGCCTTTCACGACGTGGAGACGCAGCAGAGCCGAAGCGGGAGTCTGCGGGACCCGACACCCCTGGCCTGGCCTTCCGCGGGATTTGCTGCTACCCCAGC